TATTCTTACGTGGGGCTCCAATCCATCCATGTCTCAGTCACTCTTTACCACTCTTGATAGAAAAACATTATGAGGCTACTCTCTGTTATTATCACCATGTGATTTAAATTATGGGGCGTGTAGAGAACAGGCATAGGAAATAAAAATTTAAGAGTTTTTAATTTACTTCAGATGCTGGGGAAAATATATTCAGCATTTAAAGGTGTTAGAAAAAACACCTCTGTGACTTTGGTATAAGCCTGGATTTCTAAATAGAATACAAAATTTCCTATCCATTAAAAAATAATACATTTGAATTATTAAAAATGTTAAAGTCTGTTTATTAAAAGACACCATTAAGAGAGTAAAAATGGGCCTGGCTGGTGTGGCTTAGTGGTTGAATGTAGAGCCAGGAGGTCATGGTTCGATTCCAGTCAGGGCACATGCCTGGGTTGCAGGCTCAATCCCTAGTAGGGGGCATACAGGATGCAACCGATCAATGATTTTCTCTCATCATTGATGTTTCTCTCTCTCTCTCCCTCTCCCTTCCTCTTGAAATTAATACAAATATATTAAAAAAAGGAGAGAAAGTAAAAATACAACTTATAAAATAGGAGATCATATCTATCATAAAAAAGTTATATCCAGATATATAAAGAATTCCTACAAACCAGTACAGAAAAGACAACCTAATTTAAAACGAGTAACAAATATGTTGCAAAAAAGGATATTCAAATGGCCAGTAAATACAGAAAAATACATTAAAAGGTGCTCAACTTCCTTAGTCATGAGAGAAATGCATATTAAACCAACATGAAAGACCTCTACAAACCTATTATAAGGCTAAATTTTAACAGATGGAAAATATCAAGTATAGATGAGATATGGAGCAACCGAAACTCTCATATACTGCTATGCAAACTCTTACCATCACTCTGGAAAGTGGTTTGGAAGTGTTACTAAAATTGAACATATGCATAGCCTATGACCCAGCAATTCTACTCCTATAAATAAACAACAGAAACACTTATATATGGGGTTACCAAAAGACACAGAATATTCATGGCAGCACTATGCAAAGATAGTTCCAAACTAGAAACTACCCGGGTGCCCATAAGCAGTAGAATAAATGAATATACACATATACATACCTACACAAACAAATAATAAAACCTAAAAACTGTGATGTATTCACACAATGGAATACCATATAGACTATAGAGTGATAAAAACTTATACAACATAACATGGATTAATCTCACCAACATAATGTGAAGCAAATGGAGCCAGTCATAAAAGGATACACAACTGCACCATTCCTTTTAGAGAGAATCCAAAAACAGACTGAAGTAATTTGTGTGTCTAGAAGTCAGATAAGGACTATTGGAGAGACAAGTAGCGACCAAAGGAAACACGAAAAGGATCCTTGTCACTATCATTCTGTTTCTTGATCTAGGTACTGGTTACACAATAAAAAGGGTGAAAATGTACCAAGCTATGCCTTTGATATGTGCACATATGTTATACATATTCAAGAAAAAGTAAACCTTAGGTAATTTAAACAGATAAATGGAAACTCTAAGAAAGAATCAAAAGGAAATGCTGACAATCAAACATAACATAAAAAAAATGAAGAATGTCTTCTGTGGGCTGACCAATAGACTGGGCATGACCAAGGAAAGAATTAGTGAGCTTGAATAATTGTTAATAGAAACTTCCAAATATGCAATCCAAAGAGAAAAAAATAGTGAAAAGACAGTACAGACTATTCAAGAACTGTGAAAAAGTTACAAAAGGTGTAATGTATGTGTAATGGAAATAACAGAAGGAGAATAAAGGAAACAATATGCAGAAGAAATATTGCAGCAATAATAACTAAGAATTTTCCCAGACCAGTGACATACACCAAACCGCGGACCCAGGAAGCTCAGAGAACACCAGGCATGAAAATTCCAAAATATATACATCCAGGCATAAACTATTCAAATGGCACAAAATTAAAACAGAGAGAAAAACCCTCGAGAAAGTCAAAGGAAAAAAATCACCTTACCTATACAAGAACAAGAAAAAAATCACAGTGGACCTCTCTTCAAAAATTATGGAAGCAAGAGAGTGAAGTGAAATATTTAAAGTATTAAAAGAAAAGAATCACCATCCAATGAATGCTATACTCGGTGAAATTATTCTTCAAGAGTGAGGGAAAGATAAAGTCTGTCTCTGACAGACAAAAATTGAGAGCATTTGTCACCAGGAGACCTGTCTTATAAGAAATGTTAAAAGAACTTCAGGGAAAAGGAAAATGATATAGGTTAGAAACTTGGACGTACATTAAGAAAGGAAGAGCATGAGAGAAGAAAAACCTAAAGGAAAACATACCTGTTATTTCTCTTATTCTTAATTGATCAACAGGTAACAGTTTGTTCAAAATAATAACATTATATGCAGTGATTATAGCTTATGGAGAAATGAAGGGAATGAGAGCAGAGAAATAAGGAATGGGAGAAAGGCACTGGAATACTCTGTTATAAGGGCTTGCATTCCCCATGCAGTGGGATCGTGTTATTTGAAAGTGGACTTGGATTAGTTTAAATGTATCTTGAAAACTCTAGGACCACCACTAAAAACAGTAAAAAAGTAAGTATAATTTATATGCTAACAGGGAAGAAAAAAATGGAATCCTACAAAATGCTCAATTAAAATCATAAGTGGAAAAAGCACAATCCATACAATAAAAAATCAATACATTTGAATTCAATTAAAATTAAAGACTTCTGCTCTACATAAGACATTGTGAAGGGAATTAAAGACAAGGCACAGACTGAGGGAAAATCTCTGCAAAACACATATCAATAAAGGACTGGTATCTAAAATACACAAAGAACTCTTAAAACTCAAGAATAATAAAACACACAACCCAATTAAAAATGGGCAAAAGATCTAAACAGATATCTCAACACGTGTCATTACGAAAATTAAAACAATGAGATACCACAACATAACTATTAGAATACTAGAGGCTGGCTGCACAAAATTCATGCACTCGGAGTGGTCCTTCAGCTGGGCCTGCGTCCTTTTGCATTTCCATATTAGCCTTTTATTATAGGATACCAAATTCAAAACACCAAATGCCATTAAGGATGTGGAGCAATAGGAACTCTCATTCAATGCTGGTGGAAATGCAAAATGGTACAGCCACTTTGAAGATAGCTTGGCAGTTTTTTGTGAAACTAAACATACTCTTACCATATGATCTAGCATTGCATTCCTTGGTATTTACTCAAATGAATTAAACATTTACACCCTCACAAAAACCTGCACATGAATGTTATCAATAGGTGAATGGATGAACAAACTATAGCATGTCCATACAATAAAATATTATTCAGAAATTTCAAAACAAAGAGTTGTCAAGCTACAAAAAGACATGAAGAAAACTTCAGTGCATATTGCTAAGCAAAATAAGCCAACCTGACAAGGCTACATACTATATGATTACAAATATATGACATTCTGGAAAAGACAAAATGATGGAGATGGTAAAAAAAAAATCAGTGATTAACCATGGTTTGGGGAAAGGAAAGCAGGGATGAATAGGAGGAGCAACGGAGAATTTTTAGGGCAGTAAAACTATTATTTTGAATGGTAGATACATTCATTATACATTTGTCAAAACCCATAGAATGTATAACAAAAGGAGTGGACCTTAATGTAAACTACAGACTTTAGTCAATAACAATATATCTATGTTAACAACTTTACCACACTGATGTTAAAAATAGAGAAAATTGGGGGATGAGTGAGGGGATATATGGGAAGTCCATGACTTTCAATAAAATTTTTTATGAACCTAAAATTGTTCCTCCTAAACTAAAGACTGTTCCTAGTTTTCTTATATCAAAGTAACTAGTTAACAGTTTTCTCTGAGATAATTTGAATAATGAGAAAGAAAAATATAGATAGGAAGACTTTAGATTAAATTACTGGTGAATTTTGAGTATCATGATTTGAGAAAGTTTTAAATGGCCCTTTAGCATATTTTCATAATAAAATGATGGTAAAATATGGCACTATAGGATATGAATATGGTTAATGTTGTGAGCTGTAAAGACCTATTTATCTATAGTTTTGAACTACATTCTGAGAAAGAGAAGAGGTCACGGCAGTCTTATGATAAAATGAAAGTAAGGTACTGGCCATTCCTTCTTTTATTCCTTTTCTGGTCTTTGTTTCTTTAAAGTGCTTTTATTTTATTTTTATTTGAACTATTTCTTTATTCACCTGGATAGGCAAAAGACAATAGGAATAAAATTAATTTTCATGTGACAACATATTACTTTCCCCTCTACTTTACAAACTAGGTGGGATGTTTCACTGTGGCAATCCCCGCCTGTGAAAATGAGCAGCTTCATCAAATTAGGCCCTAAGTAAAAAATTTAAATTGAACTTAGGTAAATACTGAGTGATAAAGTTGAAGGAGAGACATTATTTTTGTCAAAATAATCAAAAAGCCAATCAGAGATAGTACAATGTATATGAACAGACGTGGGGAGCACATTTGTATTTCCAGAAAGTTTAACTAACGGTTCTCTGAGGTGAAGAACATGCTAAGAACAACTGTAATATGTGCTATATGGGAAGGAACTTTTTTTTTATCAACTGTCCGTCATATTTCCAGGTGTGGTGCTTAATAAGGTGAATATAGCTTTGCTGAATAAGTGAATGAATGCAAACACTATTTGTCCCCTAAGAGGGGAGAAGGACCCTACAAATTGAAATATATTTTAACTCAATTTAGTAATGCTCCAAATTTGATTCATGTCACTCACTGCCTTCTAATATTTTGAGCACAAGGCATAGTTGCATGGGAAGTGAGGTGTATTAGGATGAAAACAGACTTGACTAAGTTTGGTTAATTGCTACTTGATATTTAAAATTGGCCAAAATTTCACACAAGAAAGAATGAGCTAAACAGATGTTTTTCCTCCTCATGCTCAGTACAACTTAGAAAATAGACCTTTTACCTTATGAAATCTTCTTCATCTTCTCTCTTTGGCCTCAGCTGTTTGGGCTGAGCCATATTGATCCAGTTGGGTAGAGATTTCAAGAGTCTGCTGATATCATCATCTTTTGCCCAAGATGCACTGATGACAAGTTTTTCTTCTGACTGGACGATGCCCCTAAACACAAGGCAGAAAAGGGACACGTCAGCACATTGCTTCATATCTGGCTGGCACTTGTCATCGACCTCTGCTACACAGAAAAGATGCCTTACCCTCTCTCTTACTAACATAATCCATTACCTGGGTTGGGGGCAGTGACACCATTAATAAGTCCCATTACTGGGAACAACCATTTCTGGACTTTATTCTTAGATTCTTCATTGTGGAGTCATCTAAAAGGCTAAGAATGCTAACTAGCCCTCCTTTATGGTAGATTTTTTTTGGGGTGTATTTCAACAAAGATGTTAAATAAGGTGGAGTAACCATATAGGAGAATGCTATTAAATGACAACATAAACGGTACTGCAAGGTGACAGAGTGTTATAAAGGGTTGTCCTCTGGCTTCTTGGTTTAAACTACCAATTAGTTGTACTTGAAGTTACTCTTTGAACTGTGGACACCCCTGCATTTAAAGCAAATGCACCATCACAGAGAAACCTCCGCCCTGATTTCCAGCAGAAAGTCTCTGATTCTCACCCTCTACAGTGGCCGTGACGAGTGGCCTGGAGGTGACAGGTTCAGGCCCTTTAACAGGGCCCGTGGGTTAGCCACTGACACTGCTCTTACCAGAACGTACCTGTAAAGTCATCTTAGACATTCAATTTCACCTTCATTAAAAAACTTCTCTTTCTATTCAACATTTCTGTCCCTATCGCTACAGTGAATGGTCTAAAATCTTCATCAGCAATTGTAGGGACAGAGCGACAATGACTTATGAAGGGAGTGCTGATTGGCTGGCTCCCTCTGAAGCTGACCAAGGCTCTAGGAAGCTCCCCCAGCCCAGGGAGGGACTTATTGTGGGATGAGGGACTTATTGGGGATGTCATGCAGTTCTCTCCATACAATATACATGTGGTGTACTAGTATATGCACGTATGTTTGATAAAACTTCCTTTACCCAAGAGGCAGTTTAATGTTTTAGGCAAAATAAGTTGAAGCTGAAACCCTTGACTCATGACAACGTGATCCCAGGTAACAGGGCCTCAGGGCTTCCTGAAAATGAGCTAGAATAACAAGAGAACCAAGGTTGATTTCTAGAATACTTCTCACCCTAAGCGAAAGTTTTCTAATAGTAGTATGGTTAGTGGTACAAAAACAAACTCTCAAATTACTCACAGTTACCTTCAATCCCCGTTTCTCCCCTATATTTTTGCATAATTTCTAAAATATTTATGGATTAATCCCACAGCCTAACTTTTATACTTTTTATACTTGGGGGGCTGGGTGCAATCTTAAGGAGTGGCATCACCTCACATTTATGGTACGCCACGCCAGATGGACCCGCCATGCTCTTAGGCATTCTTCTTACCTGTCTCTGATCGACTTCCTCTCCCATTTCCCTCAATGACTATTTTTTTAAGCCTGTACCCTTTATCTCCTCATTGCTTCCTCCCCCCGCCCCAGTCTTCCTATGTGACAGAGGAGGGGACCTAAGTACATACTTTCAAACACTCTACTTCTGATCCCCCACAGAAGTATATGCAAATCTGTTTCATTCTCATTTACCCCCAGTAATCTCTCTACCTAGGCTTTTGAGGATCATTCCCCGCCCCCCAACAATTATCCCCTCCTTTTCCTTATATCTAGTCCCTTCTTAACCATGGTTTAGCTTTCTGTGGTTTCAGTTACCCAGGGTCAACAGTGTTTTGAAAATATTAAAAGAAAAATTCCAGAAATAAATAACTGATAAGTTCTGAGAAAGGTAATGAAATCCCATGGACCCCACCCAGGATGTGACTCCACCCTCTGTCCTGCGTCTCCATACCGTACACCCCCCACCCATTAGTGACTTAGCAGCCATCTCATTATCAGATTAACGGCCATGGCATCACAGTGCCTCTGTTCAAGGAACACTTATTTTACTTAATAAGAGCCCGAAGCACAGAAGTGATGTTGGCAATTCAGACATGCCAAAGACAAGCCATAAAGTACTCCCTTGAAGTGAAAAGGAAGTTCTCAATTTAGGAAGAAAAAAACTGCATGCCGAGGTTGCTAAGATTTCTGGTAAGAAGGAAGGTTCTACCCATAAAATTATGAAGAAAAATTCATGCCAGTTTTGCTGTCTCACCTGAAACTGCAAAAGACATGGCCACCACAGTATATGATAAGTACTCAGTTAAGACTGAAAAGACATCAAATGTGTTAGTGGGAGAAATGAATGGAAAAAGTGTCCTGACTGAGAGCCATCAGCCAGGGTCCCCGAAACCATGACCCCGAGCCGTTCACTAAAAGTGAGGATGGTTCCACAGATGCAGGAAGAGGTCTGGACTGAAAATACAAAAAGTACTGATAGTATCACTACATTGTTCTATTGTATGATTACTTATTGTTAATCTCTTACTGTGCCTAATTAATAAATTAAACTTTATCATAGGTATGCATATATAGGAAAAAACAGTACATACTGGGTTCAGCACTATATCCACTTTCAGAAATCTACTGGGGATCTTAAAACGTATCCCCCACAGATAAGAGGGGACTACTATCTATAATAATAAAAGTGTAATATGCTAATTAGACCAGACGTCCTTCCTGACGAAGCCGGGGCTGTGAGGGAAGTGAGGGAAGCCCAGGTCCCGGGTGCCAGAGGGAAGCCGGTGCCAGCAGCCGGGGGAAGAAAGGCCTACTCTTTTTTTAAAAAAATAAACTTTATTGTTCAGATTATTACAGATGTTCCTCTTTATTCCCCCATAGCTCCCCTCCACTAGGTTCCTACCCCACCCCATGCCCTTACCCCCTGCCACTGTCTTCATTCATAGGTGTAAGATTTTTGTCCAATCTCTTCCTGCACCCTCACACCCTCTTCCCCCCAAGAATTGTCAGTCCACTCCTTTTTATGCCCCTGCTTCTATTATATTCACCAGTTTATTCTGTTCATCAGATTTTTTATTGACTTAATTTTTAGATTTACTTGTTGATATGTATTTGTTGTCACTTGGTTGTTCATAATTTTTATTTTTACCTTTTTCTTCTTCTTCCTCTTCTTAAAGAATACCCTTCAGCATTTTATATAATCCTGGTTTGGTGGTGATGAACTCCTTTAGCTTTTTCTTGTCTGTGAAGCTCTTTATCTGACCTTCAATTCTACATGATAGCTTTGCTGGGTAGAGTAATCTTGGTTGTAGGTTCTTGCTATTCATCACTTTGAATATTTCTTGCTACTCCCTTCTGGCCTGCATGGTTTCTGTTGAGAAATCAGCTGACAGTCGTATGGGTGTTCCCTTGTAGGTAACTAACTGTTTTTCTCTTGCTGCTTTTAAGATTCTCTCTTTTTCTTTTGCCCTTGGCATTTTAATTATGATGTGTCTTGGTGTGGTCCTCTTTGAATTCTTCTTATTTGGGGTTCTCTTTGCTTCCTGGACTTGTGAGTCTATTTCTTTCATCAGGTAGGGGAAGTTTTCTGTCATTATTTCTTCTAATAGGTTTTCAATATCTTGCTCTCTCTCTTCTTCTGGCATCCCCATAATTTGAATGTTGGTACATTTGAAGTTGTCCCAGAGACTCCTTACACTATCTTCATATTTTTGGAGACTTTTTTCTTTTTGCTTTTCTGGATGGGGTGTTTTTTGCTTCCTCGTATTTCAAATCGTTGACTTGATTCTTGAAATCCTATAGTCTGCTGTTGGATCTCTGTTTATTATTCTTTATTTCAGTCAGTGTATGCTTAATTTCTAACTGGTCCCTTTCCATTTTTTTGGCATTTTCATTAAGATCCTTAAAGGTCTTACTAAGTTCCTTAGAGGTCTCACTAAGTTTCTCAAAGGTTTGTAGAAGATTCTTGAGTAACCTTATAACTGTGGTTTTGAACTCTATAGCCAGTAGTTTGCTTTCCTCCATTTCTTCCATTTGTGACATGTTTCTTTGTCTCCACATTTTGGCTGCTTCCCTGTATTGATAGAGTGGCTTTGTGTGGTAGGTGTCCTATTGGGCCCAGTGGCTCAGCCTCCCCAATCACCTGAGGTGGACACTCTTGGTGCACACCTTTGTGGGCTGGGTGCACAGTCTTGTTGTAGTTAAGCCTTGATTGCTGTTGGTAGCCCTGGGAGGAAATGACCTCCAGGGCAATTGACTGCGAGGACCCGCTTGTCTATAGCGAAAGAACTGCTGTGCTGTAGACACCCTTATGGGGTAGGACTTGCTTCAGTGGGGCTTTGGTGCTCACTGAGTCTGCCTCATGAGTGTGTCACTTATGGATGTGAGGAGTTGAAATCTGGTATCTGACCACTGGGTACACTGGCTCCTGGATCTCCAAGGAGGTGCAAAGTCAGCCACTGCATGAGTCCACCCAGCAGGAGCTACAGTGAGATCTGCAGATTTCTCCTCTTTGTTTGGGGTTTGGAAGTTTTGGAGCTCTCTGACCCAGTTGCAGTTTGTTAGGTTAGGCTGCAAAAGGACAAGAGATTCATATGCAAAAGCTGCTGCGCACAGCTTGGGTGGGGTTGTAAATTGGGTGGGGCAGGGTCTCAGGGAATCACCAGGGTGGAGCAAATAGCGATGGCTGTCAGTCAGCCGTTTCCGCATCTCCGTGTCCCTGAGTCCTGCACCTCCACAGTAACAATGATCCCTGCGAGCAGCTCTGCAAGAAAGCCATCCTCGCTTTCCGACCCAATGCCAGACCATCCAGTTTCTCCCTGTAGGAGTCTGGGTCCCCAGAGTCTCGCCGGAAATGAGTTCAGAGCTGTCGGGAGCTTGTATCTCCCTTCCAATTGAAAAAAACAGTGCACCCAGTTGCCAGCCCATTTCGCTCGCCTCCGTACCTCTGCTCTTGGTGCCTCCACACCTCCTACCCAGTCTCAATGCGCTTTTTTCTTTCCTTTTAGTTGTAGAACTTCCACTCAGCCAGCTTTCCCATGGTTCTGGATGATAGCCATTTTGTCTTTTAGTTATAGTTTTGGTGTGGTTGTGGGGGGCAGCATGTACAGGTGTATACCTTATGCTGCCATCTTGGTTCTCCCCAG